GGACTGACCTACAGAGGACTGACCTACAGAGGACTGACCTACAAGGGACAGACCTACAAGGGACTGACCTATAAAGGACTGACCTACGGAGGACTGACCTACAAGGGACAGACCTACAAGGGACTGACCTATAAAGGACTGACCTATAGAGGACTGACCTACAGAGGACTGACCTACAGTGGACTGACCTACAAGGGACTGACCTACAGAGGACTGACCTACAAGGGACTGACCTACAGAGGACTGACCTACAGAGGACTGACCTACACGGGACTGTCCTACAGAGGACTGACCTACACGGGACTGACCTATAGAGGACTGACCTACAGAGGACTGACCTATAGAGGACTGACCTACAGAGGATTGACCTACACGGGACTGACCTACACGGGACTGACCTATAGAGGACTGACCTACAGAGGACTGACCTACACGGGACTGACCTATAGAGGACTGACCTATAGAGGACTGACCTATAGAGGACTGACCTACAGAGGACTGACCTACACGGGACTGACCTATAGAGGACTGACCTATAGAGGACTGACCTACAGAGGACTGACCTACACGGGACTGGAGAACTAGAGGACTGACCTACAGAGGACTAAAGGACTCACAGAGCAGGTTTAGGGGAACGGTGGTGTCTCTGGTCCTGTCCTCAGCTGGCAGGTCCTGCAGATCCAGCGTGGCGCTGCAGCTGATGTTTCCTCCAGAGTCCTGATCCTGAGGCGTGAACCTGTACTCAGACCGCACCGAGAGCGATCCAGCGTCTCCAACAATTCTCTGCAGGACAGCATCTCCTTGGAGCCAGCTGACGGTCAGCAGCTCAGCGGGGTAAACGTCAGACACCTGACAGGTGAGGACAGACTCCGCCCCCAGATGCAGGCGGTCCTGGCCTGTGATCAGAGGGGCTGATGGGAAGGCTGGAGCAGGAAGAGAACGATGACATCATCACGCTGACACTGCCCTGCGGTCCAGGTACATGTACAGTGCATGCGTGTACTCACAGTAAACGTGCACAGGCGTGGTGGCCTGCCTCTGGTCTCCTCCACAGTTGACTCGACACAGCAGAGCTCCTTCGTGCTCCATCATGACGGGGTCAAAGGTCACCACGGAGTGGCTTCTGTTGGTGCTGATGGATGCCGTCAGCGGTCGGTCCCCCATCAGAGACCAGGACACACTCGGCATTCTGGGACAGTCTCGGACCCGACACTCCAGCTGCTGACGCTCGCCCAGTCTGAACAGAGGCCTTCTGGGAAACATGTCCACACGCAGACCCTGAACGTACCACGATGACATCAGCAGCACAGCTGGGGAGGTAAACAACAACATTAACAAACAAACAAACATCCACTGATCAACCTGCTGCCGCTGAAGAGTTTTCACTTCCTGTTTCAGGTGATGAATAATTTGTAACACTTCTAGAGCTCCGTCTGCTGTGAACGCATCATCAGTGACATCATCAACACCACTGTCGCATGTTCACATCTGAAACTTCTCCTGGTCAGAATTCCTTCAGTGTTGATTGATGAGGAGCTGAATTATCCTCAGAGGTCTCTTCTTCCTGTGACATCAGACGTGTCTCCTGGTCTCAGAACTCTCATTTAGCTCCTTAAACTCGTGTTGGAGTTAAGACAGTCTGAGGGACCTTAAGGGTTCTTGTTTTTTTGTTTTTTTTTTACCTTGCTTTGGTTGCTAAGGTCTTTTGTGTAATGATTCCTTAAGACCAAGAGAAGGAGAAAATCTTAAATACTTAAGGAAAATTTTTAGGAAACCTTAAGGGGAAGGCTTATGGGTGTTTTGTGCAACTGATTTTATTTTGAGGAAACCTTCACCCAGACTTTAAGGAAATCTTAACTTAAGGCGTTTTGTTTTGTGCAACCTTCTGTTCATGATTCCTGGAACTTTGGTGTTACCGCTGTGATCAAGGACGTGACATCGACAGAGGGCGTGGCTTAACAGAAGTAAACAGTCATAGCCAAGTGACTGATTGTTGATTATTATTTGATCCGTGTTCAAATAAATACGGGCGCTCATCAAATTCAAACGGCTCATCCAGATCCAGTTGGTCAAAATCAGGTAAAAATTCGGACGTTTGTTATGACAAGTCAAAACACTCACTCAGAGAGTGAAAGTCTGGCTCTGAAATGTCACGTCTCGCGAGATTTGAGTTGTTGCAGGAAGTTCCGCTGGAGAGACCTTACAAACGCGAGGAGTTCCTCTGTTTGGAGTCGTCATGGCTGAATTTTGACCCGTTTTTGACCAACTGGATCTGGATGAGCCATTTGAATTTGATGAGCGCCCGTATTTATTTGAACACGGAGTACACGGACGTACACGGACGCAGAGCTCATTGAAACTGAAGAGCGGACGAGGAGAGAGAGGGAGCAGCAACAGGCAGAGGAACATGTCTGAATCCAGCTAAAGGTAAACACAGACGTTCATTTATCCTTTCCGTTATGTTGTCAGATAATTATACTAACAATCCGAGCCTATCTGTGTGAAAAAAAATGCACTTTTAGTGGACGTATTTTGACGTTGCTTGACGCTGTCTGAGTGCCCTATTATTTAATATAGCTGCAGGCAGGTCAGCCCTAGCTTCATACTGGAGACATGTCAAATATTGAACATCCTATCACTCATTTAGACAAAAGCAGATCTGAACATAGGGCCCAGGTTGAAAAAAACATTAGTTCCCCTTTAAGGAGAACACTGTACGCTCTCTGTTCTGAGGAGTTCTTACTTAATGTTACTAACCTGGAAAATAAGACATGCCCACTGATGACATCACAGTTCACAGGTCAAAGTGAACCTGATGTTTTTGGTTCCAGGTGAGAAACGACGTCTCCAGTTCTGAACCAGTTTGTTTTGGTGGAAAAGATCTGAACGGTTTAAAAGTAGGAGCAAGAACCAGACCAGACCAGACCAGATCAGGTCAGGACAGACCAGATCAGGTCAGGACAGACCAGACCAGATCAGATCAGGTCAGGACAGACCAGACCAGACCAGATCAGATCAGGACAGACCAGACCAGACCAGACCAGATCAGGTCAGGTCAGGTCAGGTCAGGACAGACCAGACCAGACCAGACCAGATCAGATCAGGTCAGGACAGACCAGACCAGACCAGACCATGCCAGACCAGACCAGACCAGATCAGATCAGGTCAGGACAGACCAGACCAGACCAGACCAGACCATGCCATGCCAGACCAGACCAGGACAGGACATGACAGACCAAGACCAGGACAGGACATGACAGACCAGACCAGACCAGGACAGGACAGGACAGGACATGACAAGACAGGAGAGGAGAGGACAGGAGAGGACAGAAACATGTCCATTCATACAGTGTGGATTAATCTGCCACTGAAAGTAGTCCGTGACAGAGTCTCCACTTCCTCCTGTTGGTCTGACTGAACGACAGCAGAGTTTTTACAGTTTTATATTTTTATTAGTTTGATTTTAATTATAATATTTTCAGTTTCAGTTCAGTTTCCTCAGCAGCTTCACTCTTTTAACTTATGTTAGGATCAGTTTCACTTTCAGTTTTAATAATTTGGGGTTTTTTGATCAGCAGGTGTCTGCGCTCCTGACAGCCTCTCACCCTCTGGAACTCTAAGATGGTCCTCAGCTGCTCCTGATGTCTCTATAAAACATCTGAACTGCTGCTCAGCTTGAAACGATGACTCCAAACATGTCTTCATAACACAGCCCATCATCTGTCTGTTCTAGTCTCCATATGGACGGTTATTATTCTCCTTGAATGAGTGTAACTGTCAGGTTTGATCTGTTTGTCTCTGCTGCCGAATCATTAAACACTTTATTCTGTATATGAAAGCTGATTATAAATAAAAGTTATTTATATATAACTGATAGAACATAAAGCAGAGAAGATGAGGTGAAGTCCAGTATTCAGGAGAAACTAGCTACAGAGTCAGAAAAACTTTATTGATCCTGGATTGTAAACTGATCAGTTATAAAGAACAGAGAATTGACCTATGGCTAAGCCCCGCCCTCAAACGCGATGAGCCAATCACAGTGCGTATAGCCATTCCCATACACTGGGACATTCTCTGCCTGGACGTCCATTGAAATGCATTACAGAAAGTCAGTTTGTTTGGTTTTATGAGCTTTTTCTGAGATTTGAAGTTTAAAAATGGTCAAACGGTGTGCATGGGGTACATGCAACTCTGACACAAGGTATCCTGAGAGGCTGGGCGACCACGTGTATTTTTTACACTTTAAACCACATCTCAACCGAGAAAAGTGTCTCCTTTGGATAAAGTTGTGTTGTAACGTTAGACCACAACATCAACTCAACGTGAATAAGATTAACAATGATGTCTACATCTGTTCTAAGGTAAGTCAACATTGTGTTTGAGGCAACATATTGTCACTTTGCTGGAAAGAAATATAAAGTTATCTTTAACATCTCTAGCTAACGTTAGCTAAAGTTAGCCTAACGTTAGCTCCTAGCTGCGTTGTTCATCATGTCACCTTGTTTGCTGGGAGTTCATTAGCCTATTTTGTTCTAGTTTTGTACTTTGGTGATCGTACATCATTGTTAGCTGTTGTCCAAAGGGCTCTAGTTAAGCTAACGTTAACTTCTGGAGCTTAGCTTCATTAACTTATCTGTAATGGCAGAGATAACAAAGGTTGGCAAACGTTATGCTGAATGATTCAGTGTAAATACTGTAGCACCAAACTAACGGAGAGACACTCTTGGTAAAGATGGTAAAAAGGCCGTTATCCTTTTCTCATATTCTGAGCCAAAAACCTTAACTTCAGTGGCACTTAAATATGTCTTCACTGTGTTGAGTGTGAGTGTGTCAGTTATACAGATATGAGCTGCTTTAAACTCTGAATTAACTAATGTTATAAATATGTATTCTGTTGTAATGTTCACGACAAAGAGTCAGAATAAACATGAGAAATATAATAAAGATAATTAAGAGGCAAACTGAAGAATACTGCAGCAGTTAAATAATAACAGGTAATTATAATAATTATAAATAATTATGAATTATAAATCCAGAGGTGAGTTCAGTGTCAGTCTGTTAATCAGAGCGTCAGACTCACAGTTTTGTGAGTTAGGTGATTAAATTATAAATGAATGTAACTAACTAGTTACATGTAATTAAATTACAGTTATTGATCCAAATGTTGGCGATAACAGAGGAGTTATATCTGAATATATTATTTCAGATAACTCACACACACACACACACACACAGCTCAGTGTTTCTCAGCCTGCAGGTCGTGACCCCTCCTGGAGTCACCTCATCTTTTCTGTGATCTATAGTCAATACTGACACACTGAGCTGTGATCACTGTGCTCACCCTCTGTCTCTGATCAACTCTTTGGCTTGATTGATGATTGATTAACAGCAACAGCTGATTTTTATTTATGTTGCTTAATGTGGATCTGTTCCTGTTTGTTTGTTTGTTTGTTTGTTTGTTTACACAGGCTATATGTGGTAATTTATTTTATCACTTTTAAATGTTCAAAATAAAATATTTTAATTTGATCTGATTGTTTCACCATCAGAATAAACTGTGAAACACGTTTTGTGTCTCAGGACGACAACGCTGAACATGAAGAGAAATTATAAACCAACATGTCACCAGAGTCTGAAGCTCACAGACACTTCATCAGACTGAGCTCATCCCTTCATCAGTTCATCCCTTCATCACTTCAGACTGAGCTCATCACTTCATCCCTTCAGACTGAGCTCATCACTTCATCCCTTCATCAGTTCATCAGATCAGACTGTTAAACGAGGCTTCGTCTTCATGTGTTTTCATGATTCAGTTTCACATTTGATATTAGATATTAAAGGTCTTACCTGAGAGAACAGAGATCCTGCAGATAGACATCTCACTCCTCACAGGGTCACACGCTCTGATGAAGACATGAATAAATGAATACATGAATGAATGAAGCAGCAGCGTCTCCTTTGTGTGTCGACTGAATCACTTCGATCTGTAAAATCCTCTGAAACCAAACGCCTCCTCTGAACCCCTTTATGTCTCCTCCTCCTCCTCCTCCTCCTCCTCCTGTCTCTTTATGTCTCCATCTCTCTCTGTAGAGATGTGAGACCACGGCGCCCTCTGCAGGACAGACAGGAAGTCTCCGTCTCTTTGTTTCTGATCAAATCATCTGTTTCTGTTTGTTTCACTGAAAATCATTGAAGAATCTGATTCATTATAAAATCCAGAAGAAGAAACAAAAGATGAAAACAGGTTTTAAAATATCTGATAAATATGATCAATAAAATGTTTTTATTGTTTCTTTTTCACTTCCTGTTGTCTCTGTTTATTTATTAATAATTCAAACTGTTCAAACTTTATTATAAATCATTCAAATAATGAAAATGTAACAAGTGTTGTGTTTTTGTTTTACAGCACAGCAGTGACCTCTGATTGATTGATGTTCAGACTGATCAATAACAGACAGTGTCTGTTATTGATCAGTCTGATGGCTGACGTGGAGTCATGTGACCTGAGTTACTCTCACTGATGAACGCGTGTGTTCGTATGTGTGTTGGCTAAATGTTACCACGTGTGTGTGTTGAAGGAAAAACATCAGTTGGTGGTGTTGTAGCGACGTAGTGCTTTTATTTTGAAAGAGACTGTATGCAAACTGTACATTTCCTGTGAAAACAGAAGTGTATTTTGAAAACAGACAATGCATGTAACAGGCTGAAGTTGACACGGCGTCCCAGAACATCAACAACCAACACACCCAGGGTACCTTGGACGTCATATGTGGACGCGGAAAGTCCATGACCAAACGTGGACACGTGACGAGGTCACAGTGAGGATGAGTTGTCAGCGCAGCCTTTGGCTCCAAATGACGTCACCAATGTCAGATGTCGGCGGCTGTATCAGGATGTTTTGCCTTCATTTTTTTTCAGTGGAAGTAAGAGGAGAGATGCGTCGTCCATCTTTAAATACAGTCAGTGGTGATGACACACGAGATGAAGACAGTGTGACTAAAAGTGAAGCTGCTTTACTCACCGTGGAGACCTGAGGGGAGACCTGAGGGGAGACCTGAGGAGAGACCTGAGGGGAGACCTGAGGGCGGGCGCCATGTTTCCACAGTATCACTGGCGTCTGGGACGGCGTTCCTCTCAGTCGGTGCTGAATAAGCGGCGCCGTTAGCCAACAGTCAGCTGACCTGAGAGGTGAACAGGAAGCTGAGGAGCAGCAACATTAATGTGCAGACACACAGGTGTGACTGCTGACATCATCCTCAGGCGTTAACTAACAGCTGACAGGTGTTTGTACCTGCTGCCTCTCTCTGTCACCTGTTTTAAGCTCGATGGTTCTGATTGGTCAGAGATATTCTAATACATATGACAGGACAAAACATTGATCCATAAAACAGTCCTGAAAATGTTCCTGTGGTAAAAACATGTCAATATATTTTCTCCATGAATCTGATTGATTAATTGATTGACTTAATCAGTTCAACAGACTGAAACACCTGAGACGTGACTTCAGATCAATACGACTGTATTTATCGTGTGTGTGCCAGACATTAAAACAGGAAACAGCTTCAGAAGAAAAATCTGTTTATTTTGCCTCAGATAAAAACTAAAAGTTATTTTCTAACTTTTCCCTTTAAACAAATATTTGAACAATAAAATAAAGAATCAGCAACAAATTAAAGTTTTTCACTCAAACATCTTCGTCCGTCAGAGAAAGATCGTCCGCTGACGACTCAAACATCAGACACATGGTGAGGCACTTCAGAGAAACATTCACAACTGACATTAGCATGTTTTACACAGTACTTAGCCTCCAGCTACAGGAGCTGTTAGCCTTGAGCTAAGGGAGCTGTTAGCCTCGAGCTAAAGGAGCTGTTAGCCTCGAGCTAAGGGAGGTCTTAGCCTCAAGCTAAGGGAGCTCTTAGCCCTTGGGCTTAAGAAACTGTTAGCCACACACTAAGGAGGCTGGTAGCCTTGGGCTAAGCAAGCTGTTAGCCCTTTTCACACTGCACTTAGTCCTGGGATAAGGGATCCATTAGAAAGTGGGCTAAAGGTTAGCCTTTAACTCCCTTAGCCCAGGGCTAGCTGCTGCTCTGTAGCAGGTTAGCGTCTGATATGCTGTGTTATCTTTTGAAAATTGGTGCTAAAGTTAGCAGTGTGAAACAGAGCTAATGGAATTTACGTCATGTGTTTGTTGTCCAATCACGACTTCTTCATCACATGATCAGTACACGCCTGCTTCATGTTTACTTTGTAACCATGGTAACTACTACTGACCATAACCAGAGGTACCTATTTAGCTAGCTGACCTAGAACAACAACCAACATCTTCTCGTCAGTGTTTCCTCTCTGACTCACATGAAGCTCTGCTGATGCCGAATCATACCGTCCTAGGTTTAGGTTAACACGGAGTTAACACGGGGTGTGAGATGAGTCACAGGAAGTAGTACGCTGATAACACAAACCTTCCCTTTAAGAACTAAACTGGAGTTTTATTCAAACATTTCCTTTTCCTGTGTTGGTCCCTTTAGCTTCTCTGTTGAAGTCTTAATGTTTCCTCCTGAAAGGCTCACTACACGCGTATGACATGTCTATGACATGTCTGTGACACCTGTGACGAACAGAGAAACCGTGCTGATGTCATCAGAGGTAGAAAACTCAAACATTAAAAATATTTTCTGATCAATCTGATCGAGGTTCCTTAATGAGAACATTTATCATCCACCCTTCAGCCAATCAGAGCTGTCCAACAGTCAGCTGGTCTCCACACAGCCAATCAGCTGACAGACATGACATGGTGCCACATGATCAAAAACACATGAAACATTTAAAGGAACAGTCCGACATTTTCTGTATAAATTCTTCTCTGGTTTCATGTTTCCTTCAGTTGGAACTTTAAAATCAAAATTAATAAAATTAACAGACACACGTCAGATATTTTTAATAAACTACCTGCACAGATAAACTTCATTTATAATCTTCTAATTTATCATTAAAAATTTTAAATTTAAACTTACTTTAAATTCAACCTCATTGTTTTTGCTCGTAAAGGTCATAATCCCTTTCACTACATTTCCTCTGGTCAGTGAACGCATCATCCACTACTTAATAACTTCTTTTACAACAAACTAAACAAACATTCAGCTGGTTTCAGTCGCAGCGACTCAAATTTAACATGATTCCTTCATGTTTCTATGACGGCGTTGTCACCTGACGGCCAACACACACAAACAACAGCCCATAATATTAGTCCTGTAAACACGATGAACGAATGTTTAGATCGACAGCAGAGAGACGAGGAGTCAGTCGCTCTCTCGCTCAACTGTTCACAACAATTAGCTGTTAGCATAACGAGCTAATCTACAGTGAAAACGCTTTGTTTCAGACACTATAACAAAATGACCAATCAGAAGCTTCTTTAAGGCTGAGTGGGCGTCAACTGATACTGGCTCCGCCCCCGACACACACACACACACACACACACACACACACACACACACACAGACACACACAGGTGTGTTTCCTGAGTTTAGTTGCTGACATTCAGTTTTTGGGTCCCTTCTTCTTCTACTGTTATTATTATTGCTGTTAATTACAAAAGATTAATCAATCAAAATAACCTGCTGGTCAGAAACAGGAAGTAAATACTGTAACCATGACAACGGAGAGTCAGTTTATAAAAACAAAAATATCTTCTTCTCATAACAAATATAAAATCTGTCCTCTTTATCCAAATATATCTTCTTCTTGTTCTTCTTCTTGTCCTTCATGTGGATGATGACATCATATTTACATTGTGCTCATTAACACACGGCGTGAACACAGAGTCTCTTCAGTAACTGAGCTGCTTCACAAGGGGGTTATGGGTAATGTGTCCTCCTCAGGTCAGACCTGTTGACCTAGTACTGGATGTACTCAGACTGAAGAGACTGAAAGACAAAACATAAAGACGCCTGTCACATATCTTAATATACAGGGACAAAGACAGAGACAGGGGCAGAGACAGGGACAGAGACAGAGACAGGGGCAGGGACAGAGACAGAGACAGGGGCAGGGGCAGGGGCAGGGACAGAGACAGAGACAGGGGCAGGGACAGAGGCAGAGACAGGGGCAGAGACAGAGACAGGGGCAGGGACAGAGGCAGAGACAGGGACAGAGACAGAGACAGAGACAGGGACAGAGACAGAGACAGGGGCAGAGACAGGGACAGAGACAGAGACAGGGGCAGGGACAAAGACAGAGACAGGGGCAGAGACAGGGACAGAGACAGAGACAGGGGCAGGGACAGAGACAGAGACAGGGGCAGGGGCAGGGGCAGGGACAGAGACAGAGACAGGGGCAGGGACAGAGACACAGACAGGGGCAGGGACAGAGACAGGGTCGGAGTCGGAGATGGAGACGGGGGCAGAGACAGGGACAGGGTTGGAGTCGGAGATGGAGACGGGGACAGGGACAGGGACAGGGATAGGGACAGGGACAGGATAAGGACAGTATGGACACACTGAGACCTGTACTGTAGTTCTGAGGACAGTCTGTCTGTCTCTCACAGTATCAGAGGAGTTCTCTGTGTCAGTTTAATCAGCTGTGTGTCGCTCTGATAAAAGGACGGACTGCTGTGTCCTCCTCTTAACTCCTCTGTCCTCCTTTGTCCTCCTCCTCTGCCCTCCTCTGTCCTCCTCTGTCCTCCTCCTCCTCTGCCCTCCTCTGTCCTCCTCTTAACTCCTCTGTCCTCCTCCTCCTCCAGGAGTTGAGTTACAGGTGAGAGGAGGAACAAGGAGACATGAGGTCTGAATGTTTCAGCCTTCAGGGAGGAAGGGGAGGAGGTGATGAAGAGGAGGAGGTGTAGTTCTCTCCACTGTGTGACGATGATGATGGTGATGAAGAAGGTGTGTTCTTCAGGTCAGCAGCAGCTTCATGTTAGTGAAGTTAATGTGAAACATGTAAACACCACAAACATCCAAAGGTTATTGAGCAACAGGTAAAC